ATTCTTTCTTATATTTTGTATGCATATGATTACAATAAAAATAAATTCAATTTTATTCTTGTTTATGAGGGTTTGTGATATTTTTTCGAAAATTTGTCAAACCCAATTTTATTTGCTCGATGACGAACATAATTTGGAGAACGTTAATAAGTTTTGTTTCACGTTACTCAACAACTGTATGTAAACAAAAAATAGTTTAGCATAATCGATCATGTTCTTTATGACAGCAAGAGACTTGAAGCAGCAGAAATGTGGTTCTACATGAGGATGTTGAGAATTACATGGACCGAACATGTGAGCAACGACGAAGTCCTAGAGACAACAGTAATAAGAAGGGACACTTATAATTTGATATGCACATGACGGATTGAAGGTAACAGAGAATGAAGAAAGTGGTATTTAGCTACCCCCACCACGAGGGTTACATGTGGCACAAGGCCGGGTTTAACGTGGGATCTTCGAGCCCGTAGGCTCGGCCAAAAATATTCCCTCTTTGAACACGCATAAACGGGTTCAGGGGAAGTCAACCACCCCGAACGAGACTCTGCCCCTCGGCGGATCCTCGTCCGGGTTCCTCTCCGCCCGAAGACAAAGAGTTAGACTGTTAGCCAAGTTAGCCAAACCATGAGAATGAGGAAAGTAACGATTAACCTAGCTGGAGAGCTTGAATGAATGCATGGAGGAACAATGTTTAGGAGAGATAGGAAAAAGAAGCTGTGGAGAGCCATGATCACCAACGTTCTGAAGGGAGAAAGCACAAAGAAGAAAAAGAAAATGGAATTACGATATGAATGTGCGCATAGCGTAGAGGTTATCGGTGCGTACTATGTGAATGGCGCGTCGAATTCAAATTTCAGCCGAAACATTTCCATTCGCTTTCGTACAAGCGGCCTTGGAAAAGTATACCCGCCTCGCCTATCTATGAGTTCTTTCTTTGACAACCAGTCTAGGAAATGTTTAATTCTGATTTGAAAACCAGTTGGACGTTGGCCTTGCCACTCCATCCATTAAAAAAATACTTGCTACGGAAACCACATCATCAAAATCTAGTTTAGTGAGTACGTGGTTCTATCCTCTGTGATTTTTTTATATAATGAAGTAGAAGAATTGTAAAGAAAGAGAATTTTTTATCCTATTATAATTGTGCGTGTACCCTCCTTCGTTAGTTCGCACGACTGTTACGCCCTGCCAATAACTCATAATAATGGTATATATATATCAATAATGGTATATTCCGTTTTGGTCATTATTTACATTATTCGGACTATTGTCCTCATCTTTGTCGCCATATTTATCAAAACATTTCGGCCGTTGTACGCTCCGGCCTTCTTCAGGAATGTCGAACTAAACTTTTAACTGTGCCATGTTTGATGGATGTCAGTTATCAGTTATCTCCTGTTAATTTCCATCTGAAATTTCTCTTAACCGGGTATTGAACTCACACTCTTTGAGTCCTGTCACTGGATCTAACCAATGCCTTCATTCACTGTGCCATGTATCCTTGAGGACATCTGGGTATGAATTTCTAGGTATTATAAACCTAATGTCTGCAGCAACCATTTTTACCAGAGCTCATATTGCAATTTTGCTGTTATCATTGCTTTTCTCTGGCACTCCTTATTACTGGTTCCCATATTGTATTTATTTCTATGCTTGGTCGGCTCAGGAGATTTTTGTGGCTTAGCATATGTGCTGATTCCTTAAGTTTACGAATTTTCCAATGGTGTTCCTTGTCTATGATCTCAACCTGATCCCACAGAGGGCAGTGATCTCCCTTCTCTCTCCATATGTGGTCAGCCAAGCCTGATTTTTCTACTTGCCCTCGTGTTACAGCTTTCTGGTGTTCTTGAAGCCTTACCTTGAGGGGGCGGCCTATCTCTCCTTTATATTCCTTTCAGCAGCTGTATTTGTATTTTCTCTGATAACCCCTTCACATAAGGCAGGCAGACTGTTTTCTGAGTGTTATTGTCCTCCTCCTCTTGTAGCCGCCTATCCCAGATTTTGGGGGCTGCTGTCTTGTACCCAGGGTAGTTGTTAGATTGTAGGGTACTACTTATAAGATGAGGACAATAGTCTGAATAATGTAAATAATGTACATAATACCGCATCTCAGAAATATAGACAGACTCGGTTTTGGTCTCGTGAATATAGGGAAAAACACTACTCGGTTTCAGTAAGAAAAAACAAAGTAACAAAGACGGGAAGATGTCGTATAGAATTTTACCCAAATAATTTTTCCATTTTTTCATTAAATTCAAATAATGTAGTTTGTGAGTTTGTGTGAATGGAGGTCAAAAAAGAACAAAGACAAGTGGTAATGGGGCAAAAGTTACAAACGACGGGATGTTGTGGAGAGCCATGATCACTGAAATGACATAGGGCATAAAAGAAGACGTCCGTTTAATTCATCTTTCTCTGTCTGAATCAATTTTTTCGCTGTGCCAGTTCTTTTCACTTCTTTGTTCACTTTCAAACTAAATTTGTATTTTAAACGACGAATTATTTGATTTTTTTTTCTCCGTTATGTATTTTTATTCTTTTTTCCCCCTAAATGATTATCACATTGAAATAATTAAATAAATTCTTTAAGAATTACTGCAGATAAATTAAACAATCTTGTTTGTTTAATCGTCTTCTTTTCTTTTCTTTTCTTTTTAATTCCTTTCGTCTCATACGATTTTCACTTGGAGTTTCTTTGAAAGGATTATTTTATTCCCAGTTCAACGCCACTCTATTCAGCTTCCGGTTGCTAATTATTTTTACTTGGCCGCTCGTTTGCTTGTTTCCTGTACCGCGTTCTTCTTATTACAATCTTTTTTTTTTTAATAACATTTGAAAAAAAAACAAAAAAAACTTTGTTCTCTAATTCTTTCATAAACGCGTTTTTACTCGACCGAATAAAAAATTGTCATTTGTTTACTTTTTCAACGCGCAAAAATATAAATATTTTACTTGATTTTTTTCTTGCATTTTACTTGATTATTTTAAATTCCGCTATTGCTTTTGTTCATCATCATCTTCTAGGGGACATGACTAACTTTATTATTATTATTATTATTATTATTATTATTATTATTATTATTATTATTATTATTATTTCCTTAGGTTTCTGTTGTATTCCTTCTGGGTTCGAACCAGAGAGCTAAGGTCAGAAATAGCTTCATGGCATTTTCCACTGATCATTTTTATGAAAAACAAAACAAAACCTAAAATCACGCACATTTTACATAGGTAAAGCTCTTCGTAATGTGCGAGCTGTACTTATGAAGTGTTTTGTATTTCTTTAAGGCATTGGCTACCAGGAATCCCTTCTATGAGTCTATCGGAAACTTTTCCAAACAATTTAATAATTTTAAATTATTGATGTTTTGATGTGCCACATTTTTTTTAATTTTGACTACAAGATCGTTTTATTTTGATAGATTTTAAAGATCTTCAAAGATACATTACAATCTGCAGGGAGTGCCATACACATAAGAAAACACATTCTGTCTTTGTGGTCTTTGATCATGATGTCTGCGCGATTAGCTTTGATTGTTCTGCCTGTGTGTATTGTAAAGTCCCATCAAATTGTTACAGGTCCTCTCTCTGTAACCGGGACTAGCTGATGTTCATATCAGTTTCTTGCAGTTTCCTTCTGGTAAAAGTTGCATATTTTCCAATGCAGATATTTGCCCACTTTGTCATACCGAGTTTTATATTCAGTGGGTGACAAGACCGTGCAATCTGATACAAGATGGTTAATTATTTCTGGATATCTATCACAGAATCTGCATTTCACGTTAACACAATTCTTCAGTGTGTGTGCTTGGTAATTTCTAGTTAGCAAGCATTGGTCTTGTGCAGCAAGAATAAAACCTTCGGTCTCAGCTTTTAACCCTGCACTACGTAACCACTGATTGGCACGGGGTTTGTCTACATCAGCTTTTTTGGTACGGAAAGTGTATTGTCAATGAAGAAACTTATCTTGACATCGTTTCTGTATTTGATAAAATTACATCTGTTTTTGCTTTCTTTTTTTAGGTTCCTTGACATTGCAGTAGGTGTATTAAGTTTGTTTTATTTATTTATTTATTTATTTATTTATTTTTTTGCATTTCTTCACACACTTCAAATTCTCTTTTGAAAGCGTTGGCTTCCTTTATTAATGAATAAAGTTTCTTATTTCTTACATGCTCTTTGACACAGATCATTGTCTTCTTTTGCTGTAAGAGGGTTCTAGTTGAACTAATCCTCTGCCTTCTTCGGATCTGGACACATACAGACGGTCAACTTCAACCTTATTGTGATGTATGTGGTGGCAAGTGAGAAGCTTTCTCGTTTTAACATCCATTCGCTTAATGTCAGCTATGGTCAAATTATGGATGTTGAAACTGTATTACGCCACTGAGACAAGTGTTTAGGGCTGATAAGTTGTTTTGCGAATTCAACTCGGTATTTAACACCAAAGGCACACTCCTGTCGTATTCTTTTTTTTTTTTTAAATTTTCTCCTTTATTTGGATATGCTGTATTTTATCTCCTTCGCTGACCCCTAATCATTTATAGGCTTCTTCTTGTTCCAGCTCCCTAAACGTTATGACAATATCTAGATCTATTGAGTGTGTTTCTGTAATTCTCCATTTCTTGAATGGCACATTTATCTAACCCGAAAACCATGTCGATGTATTCACTGAAACATTTAACAATATTGAGCCTACCCTTTAAGTCATTGTCAAAGAATTTGATATCATTCATGTAGAATAGATGATTAAACACTTCCTTTTTTTACTTTGTATCCATAGATATTAGATCAGTTCATTAGGGGGATTAGAACTGCATCTAGTCATTTCAACTGTAGAATGGTGAGATCTTCTTGCCAGTCTATTAGTCTGCTTAAATTCTTAAAGTCGAGGTACCATAGTGTAAAGTTCTTCAGAAAAAATTGCCATAAGCAGTTTTATAGAAAAGGCACGGGAAAGCAACATTACGGCGGTGTGAAAGTGACTGATGGCGAGATGC